TCAAACCCAAGCTCTCCCTAAGGTGCAGCCTGTCAGGGTAATCCACCTAATGTACTCTGCTCTGCCTTGTGTGTCGGTGAGCAACCCATCGCATATGTCACTCGCACACTTGTCACAGCTCCTGAAAGGAAGACCTACAGGGTTCCCAATCATGTCTGCTAAGGAATCACCATTGGAACACAAGGCGCTGTACTCCAAGTCCGAGATGGGGGAAAAATTGTCCAACTCTACTCTGGGAAGTGAAGGCGCAGGCTTGTAAACTAAAGGGGAGTTGCTCAGGAAAACTAAGCTGGTTCAAAGGTGCAGGTAGCCTGGACTATGGACAACTGTGTTCTGGGAAACCAGCAGTTGTGGCAACTGCAAATCTGGTTTATTTTCTTCTACTGATGCCACAATATTGTTTAAACTCATATACTAGCAATTAGAGATGGAAAGAACTCTCAGGTCACACTGCAATTACCCCACCAGTGCTTTACTGAGTCTAATTTACTTGCTTTACTGAGTCTAATTTTACAGGACACAGGTGATGGAGCTTTCTCTGTGAAATTCTTCCACATCTTAACAGACCCCACTGATAAGTCTCAGAGGCATAGCCATGTTAGTCTGTAACTTTACAAACAAAGAGTACCTGTACCTGTAAGGTACTTGTGGCACCTTAGAGACTAAAAATATATATGGTATCGTGAGCTTTGGTGAACAAAACCCACTTCTTCAGATGAGACGATCCACTCAAGAGCATCTCATCTGAAGAAGAGGGTTTTGCCCACGAAAACTCATTACACTATATATTTTTTTGTTAGTCTCTAAGTGCCACAGGACTCCGTATAGATAAGGATTAGTTTCTTGACAATTGGGCACCAGTGTAAATTTCAGTGCAAAACCTCCTAGTGTAAATGGGATGTGGACCCAATTTTTGTTCCTGTAGTGGCACTCATGATTAAAGGCTTTGCAAAATTTTACCACAGAAGGCTAATGAGTAAAATTTGCAAGCCCGATGAAAGGCAATAATTGTATGTATTATTTTCTTGACATATCCAAAGCTTTCAATTAAGTAGATCATTACTTATTATTACAAAAATTAATTGCCACAAATATCAATGCTAAAGCTTTATTCTGAGTGAAAACCTACATACTGTACTTAGCTATAAAGCTTCCGATTACAAGTGGAAGGCTTTTGCAGTCTAATTGAATTCAATGTCCAACTGCAGGAAAAATATCATAGTTTATGTTCACAATACTTCAGTTTTAGATGCTAGTAACAGAAGAGTTGTACTGAAGCAATGATACAAAAATGTGGTTACTGGTATATCTAATGATCACTCAATTTCTTCTAAAACAGGACCAGTCAATAAACAAATCAATATAGGAAACCAGGACAGCAAAACACGGCTTGAGGTAGAGTTATGTTAATATTAAAATAACCATGTTATTGTCAGTTATATTGCAACTTCACTTGCAGTGAAAGGAACATCATGGTTTAAATCAGGCTTCATAAGAGTCTGATGAATGGAGCAAGAAGGCTAAAATGCTTGTGGTTCACAGTAAATTAATAGTTTAGGATAATACAGTAAATTAATAGTTTAGGATAATATTACCTCTGTTCTAAAAATGGAAAGCATAGTCAGTGAAAAATTAAGAAAACGGAGTAAAATGTGGGTTGGGAGCTGTTTTTGTTTCTGAAACTTTGGCAGAAGTTCTAATATTTCATTGAAATGAATCATGCTCTCTCAATAGTTTCTATAATAAAGTTGCTTTGCCTACATGTAAAAATCCATTTCCTGCAAACCACTGCCCTCAAGTAAAAGCCCTGCAAACTCAATGCCAGTTTTTCCTTTTTTTGTGCAAAGCCACCATTAATAAATTTTCTGCTAGCTAAATTATACCCTCTGTTATGTCTGAGAGTCCCCATTGCACAGTTTAACTAAATGGGATTTAATAAAACATGTCTGTGAATGATGCACAAAAATGAACAGAAATCCATCCCATCCAACTGTTTTAATACAACCTGGGCTAACAGGGCTCATAGCAGTAAGGTGCAATTTCCCATTACAAAAGTCAGTAGATATGACTGAATACGCACAAAAAGCCTGCCCTTCAACCAGTTTATATCACATTAGCCCCACCAATTTACGTCAACGGAAGATCTGACCTAGGGAACATTTCTGTTGCATAAGGAGGTATAATTTTTGCTTGGTTATTTTTCACAGTGGACTCTCACTTTAAGGTCATGAGATAAAATCCCGGAAGGATTACAGCCAAAAGGACAATGTAATAAAAGTTTAAGATGAAAAATTTGACTTGTGCTAACTATCTAGATTTAGAGCAAGATTTTAAAGAGGAGCTAATCACATCTTAAAATCTCTATAGCACTTTGGTCTTCTGTAGCACATTTCATCTGAGGATCTCAAACTAGTATTATTGTTACTTAAGGCTGACATTTTCAGAAGTGACCAATAATTGAAAGCCTTGACTTTTTGGATGCTTTAAAGAGGCCCAGTTTTCAGAAGTGTTGAGCAGCTGCCACTAAAAACATCCTTTAAGGGGACTCAAACTGGGCACCCAACCCCCCCAAAAAACAAGCACCCAAATTGATAGTCTTTTTTGGAAAATGCTATCTTCAAAAATAGTTTTCCTGCATGGTAGCATGTTTAATATGAGGATATTAGAGTGTTTAACAACTATTAATAAATGCCAGCCCTGTGAAATAGTCAGGAAATGCTACTGCATTTTTACAGACAAGAAAATTAAGAGACAGTGAGGTCAAGGGACAGAACAAGATCAGACAGGAGTTGAGAATCTAGAAATAAAATCCGTATCAACTCTGGCTCAAGGGTCTCTGTCTTACCCACAAGAGTGTTCTTCTCCCACTTTAATGGCATCCTCCTATCACTCTTTGCTAGGCTGCCTGAGAAAAGTTAAGGGGAAATGCCCTGGAGGCCAAGCAGGGGATGGGAAGCGAGATTGGTACTCATAATGCCCCAGCATAAGAGCTTGAGGGTAGAGAGAAATCTGTGTTTGACCCAACAGATGGAAGAAGTCATGACTTATGAACTAGTGAAGATGTGTGTGACGGGGAGGATATTTGGCAAATGGTGGATCTGTGGATGTGTGTGAGGACAAGTAGGCATGCCATGTGAATGTTTGAGTGCAGGTATCTTGGAGAAGTTTAGTTGCAGAAGTAATAGAAGGTTATGACAGGCTGTGGAGAAAGAAGAAAAGACAGCAAAAAGAGAAATGAGGAGGGAAAAACATTTGGAAAAGAGAATAAAGGGAAAAATGGGAATCAGGAAGAAAGCAGGCTTTTTTAAGAGACAGGAAACTAAAAGCACAGGAAGAAAAAATTATATATGCTCAAAGTTGAATTCAAATGACGTAAGTGGAAGCAAGCAAACAGTGATGGATTTTAGATGTAAATCTAAGTTTTCAGCTTGGGAAAGAGGTGACTAATGAGCGGAGACATTTATAAAACTCATGAATTGAATGAATTTCAGAGGGTGATCCCAAGTTCTTAATAAGCAGCAGGTTAAAACAGAAGGAAAAAACTTCCTCACACAATGCATAGTCAGTCAATCAGTGGAACCTGTTGTCAGGGAATGTTGTGAAGAGCAAAATTATAGTGTTCAAAAAAAGAATTAGATAAGTCCATGGACACTAGGTCAATCAAAAGCTATTAGTCAAGATGCTCTGAGTGTCCCTAGCCTGTGACTGCTAGCCTGCTCTGCTTATTCCCTTTGAAACAGCTGGCATTGGCCATTGTCAGAAGACAAGATTGTGTTAGATGGGCCATTGGTCTGCTATTATGTTCTTATCTACAAGATGTGACCATAGCGCTTCTCCCATAGATCGGTCGGTATGCCTCTGCATAACATCTAATACAATATTCAGTACTAGTAAAATTTAAGGAGGTAAAAATACATTTTGCAGACTGTTCAAAAAATATTGAACTGGCTATTCGAATCTAATAGTCCAGCCCCACACTTTTGTGTGTGCTGGCTGTCACACAAGCAGAGTGAACCCTGGAATTTCTTTCTTCAGGCAGGTGAAGAAGAGATTCTCTGACCCTATCATGGTGCAGAATGGAACTGCAGTTCTCAACTGTGCTGATTTGCCTCTTCTTAAGAGCACATCAATAAATAAGATTAGAATTGTCAAACACTTCCAAGGAAACATTTAGAAGCCAGACTGATTTCCTCGGGGAATGGATTCATTAGCAAAGACAAGGAGGTAGGGGGAAATTAAGGTCCTCATCCAAGTATCATTAAAGTCAAAAGAGTCCCCCTGTCTTCAGTAGATTTTGGATTAGGATTTACAAAGACTTTACATATTTTCTTTTTTACAATGTAATCATTGATCAGGCTGGATGAAGATAAAGTTCTCTCACAGAATAGGAAGACAGATACTATTTTTCAATGTGATCTTTGTTTAAAAGTGGGAACACTCATTTTACCCTGCCTAAGGTAGCCACTTCAATTTATTTATATACGGTCAGCACAGAAGGAAGAAAAATATTAGGGATTAATTCTCAGCTTTGCCTAAATGTGGCCTCCCTTTTTTCACATCCAGTTTTGCATGTGCATATAACTGAGGTTGCTATTGATTTAATGTAGATAGCCAGCTGCCAGGTTTCACCTTCACCACAGATAAATACCAGACTTTAGTCATGCCTTTATTTGCTAGCTCAGAAGGGAAGGCAGACTTGGAATAACCTGTCTCTTACTATATTGACATAAAAACTCACTGTCTGAGAAAGTAAGAGTGTGCTGACAACAACTGTTGTAGAGAGAAAGTACCTACCCTTCCTGACTTGACAAATGCTGAGATATGCCTATTATTCCATTGGAGGATTGGTTCTGCTTGAGTATACCTGGAAAAAGAGAATACCTGCACTGCAATAGACACAGATTTGCTACGCTATAGCAACCTCCCTTACTCCCCTCCCCCCTCTGCCCCAGGAACTAGCTACATAAACACGCAATACACACACAAAAGAGGAAACATACTCCACCCAAGAAGCGGAGCCACACTCCATCCCAGCGAGTATAGCCAGACAATAGCAATGATCTGCGATGTGCGTTTCTTTGAAGTCCACCGCATGGATTGCAGAGGCTTAGTGATCACAAGGTATCGATCAACAGAAATAGCTAATAAAGTCATCATTGAGGTTATTCCAAAGAGTGCCCCGCAAAACGCATACAGGTCACAACCTAAACAGAAAAGTGGAGCATAACATTTTTAGTTTTCTAAACAAATGTAGAACTGTCTCTCACAGCCTGATTCAACGAACTTCCCATTTGTGGTCACACTGTTCTTGACTCAAGACACTTCTCTCATCATAAGAATTTATACAGCCTCCCTGCATCAGCAGTATTTTTTGCTTAATAAAACAAATATATAGTATTAGTATAAAAGAGTAAGCAGGAAAAATGCCCCATCGTCCATTGCAGGCTATGACTGAGGATCAATGGAAAACTGCCTCAACGAAAATCCAATACAATTGAAGTTACATTTTCCTGGAATGCTGCCCAATATAACGACCTTAACTAGGCTGACACAGACATTTATCTCCTAGAGACAAAAGGATATGTCAAAAAATCAACATTATTTGATGCAGTGTTGTTGTAGCCATGTTGGTAACAGGATATAAGAGACACAAAGTGGGTGAGGTTATATATTTTACTGGATCAACTTCTGTAGGTGAGAGACACAAGGTTTTGAAGGTACACAGAGTTTCTTCTTCAGATCTGGGAAACCTACAACAAGTCTACACTGCAATTAAAAGCCCCAAAAGGCTTGCACACCAGTTGACTCAGGATCACAGTGTTTAGGAGGCAGGACTTTTTAACTGTGGTGCAGATTTTCAGGCGAGGGCCACAACCTGACTTTTGGGACTCACCCACAAATCTTGCATGGCTGTCAGACCTTAGGTAGAGCGAATCGGGGCAATGGCTCTGTGCTTTAGGGGGTCCCGCAGCCAAGTGTGATTGGCTGACACATAGGGTTGCCAGATGGTTTCAACAAAAATACCCGACACACTTGACATTGCATCACAATCTACATTACATCGTATTTAGAAAATACCGGACATTTATATTTTCTCATTTATATTTTCTCAATTTGTTTCCTGAACAGAAAGCTCAAATACTGGACTGTCCAGTTCAAAACCGGACACCTGGCAACCCTACTGATACAGTAGTTCCAGGAAGACATAGGTGCAAGAACTAGGAGTGTGGAGGTTGCTGGCCCTGCGCACCCAGGGTTCCGGCTGCTGGCCCCATCTCCTGACTCAGCCATTGATGCAGAGCAACGTCCCCAAGCTGGAGGGGCCTGATTTGTTCCAAGCCCGACAGAATCATAGGGACAGTCTTGATGGGAGCAGTGACTGGCTCCAGCCTGAGCTTTTACATTGCAGATAAACAGCCCCTCACCTGGAGATCCAGGAACTCCAGTCAGCCAGCATAGACCAGCCCATTTTTAATTGTACTGATAACTAGGGCTGTCAACTGATCTGCATTAACGCCTGTGATTAACACGGGTTAATTTTTTAAACTTACTAATCCCAGGCATTAATGCTGGGCTGCCCCTTTGAAGTGCCGCTCTGGCACTTCAAAGAATCAACACATTAGGATCCAGGGATCAGCTGGAGTCCCCATCTGATCCCAGGTCCTAACGCACTGCCCCTTTGAAGCACTGGAACGGCACTTCAAAGGGGCAGTGCAACACTGAACTGGGGATGAGCTGGAGTGCCCAGCTGATCTCTGGCTCCAGGTTGCACTGCCCCTTTGAAGCGCTGGAGTGGAACTTCAAAGGGGCAGCATGACGCAGAACAGGGGATCAGCTGGGCACTCCAGCTGATCCCCGGCTCCTAACGTGCTGCTCCTTTAAAGGCCAGTCCGGTGTTTCCAAGGGGCAGTGAGGCTCGGAGCTGTGGTCAGCTGGAGAATCCAGCTGATCCTGAGCTCCCGTGGTGTTGTCCCTTGGAAATGCCGGGGTGGCCTTTCCAAGGGGCACGGAGGCATGGAGCCAGGGTCAGCTGGGACTCCAGCTGATCCTGGGCTCCTGAGGTGCTGCCCCTTTGAAATGCTGCCGCTGCATTTCAATGGGGTATGCATGCGATTAATCGTGTGATTAATCGCAATTAATTTTTTTAATCGCTTGACAGCTCTACTGTTAACACACTCCAAGCGTCACTGCTTCATACTAAATACCAGATGGAACAGATTGTTTAGTATAAATAGTTAACACCTATTTCAAGGAACTATTCAATGTGGAATGGCCAGTTAACACCTCTCCAGTCTAGGGGCGGGGGAGGTAGGGAAGGGAGGAGGAGTACCCAGAGAGAACCTGGTGGAATACAGAAATAAGTCCTGAAGCCCCTTTGACTGCCAAATACCACCCCACACTGGAAACCGTAGGTGGTCTTGTCAACAATTACAACCCATACTAGAGGGCCTTATAAAAAAACTCAAGATGAATGCCATCTTCGGGCCTTCAAACACCCCTCCTCCCAACCTCTCTATGCTTACCATCTGAAGCAACTCAGAGGGGTAGCTATGTTAGTCTGTATCTGCAAAAATGAAGAGTCCTATGGCACTTTAGTCTTTAAAGTGCCACAGGATTACCTTGTTGATTTTTCATCAGAAGCAAGCTCCTCATACACCAGAACATACCAACTTATAGTGACACCAGGCCTTCCCAGAACAAAAGATGCAAAACCTTGATCTCCGCTGCTATGGTGATCATCACCCCTCATGACACACATTTCAAGATCCATGGTCCAACACATGAATGTCGCAACATGTGGAATACTTCATATGATGCACTGAATGCCCCATTCGCAACTATGTAGGTGAAATGAGATAATCATTACGCTCTTGAATGAATTTACATAGAAAAATGATAAAAAGACAAAAATAGCCTATCACAAATCAATTGCTCCAGATCTGAGTTCACAGTCCTAAGCCACAAAGGAAATCCGCGCTGCACCTTCTGAAGGTGAACTTAAATTCATAACTTTACTGTTGCCCACTTAATCCCATGCCTCCTACCTAATATTCTTTCCTCACTCCATTTCCTGGCTGACTGGAGAGGGATCAATGGGAAATTCACCTTTAATGGTTCCTTGAAATATGCGTTCACTACTCATGCTAACAATTCATTCCATCCTGGATTTAGCTGACACACTAGTCTAGTACCTTTCCCAGACCCAAAGAAGAGCTCTGTGCAAGGGTATGTCTACACTTGCAAGCAGATCAGCACTACTGCAATCAATGCAGTGAGTGTCGATTTAGGGGGTCTGGTGAAGATGCACTAAATGGATGGGAGAGCACTCTCCCATCGATGTGTGTACTCCACTCCCTAAGAAGCCTACGGGACATCAACAATGGGAGACACTCTTCAGTTGATACAGCTAGGGCCACCTCATGAGAGATACAAGGTTCAGGGCCGCAACCCTCTCTGCCCCAGGCCCTGCCCCCACCCCGCCCCTGCCATTCCCTTTTCTCCAAACCCTACCACACTCCATCCCCACCCTGCCTCTTCTCACTCCTCCCTCTCCCCGCCCATTGCACCGCTTCCCCGAAGCCCCTTACCCTGAGTGACGTGACCCAGAGGATTACTGGGGGGCCTGGCATGGGATGGCAGCAGGGATCACACCCTCCTGTACTCACCACAACAGCAGGAGCCATGGGAAGCTGGCTCCACTCTGCCACCCATATCTCATCCGGGTCACTCTGCTTTACTTGAGCCCTGTGACACTCAGGGGAGTGGAGCAGAGAAGACAAGGGCAAGGTTCCTCTGTTTCCCACTGTCATGGTGAAGCAAAGCAACCCAGCTGGGAGATGGTAGAGCAGAGCAGGCTGCTGTGTGACTCCACTTCCCACTGCTTCTGCTGCCATGGCAAGTGTGGGGGATAGAGGGAGGAAGAGAATGATCCCTGCTACCAGCCCTAAGTCCACCATGTAATACCTCAGCCTGGGCCCCACAGGCTAGCCTCAATATGGGCATCATTGGGGCAGTTGCTGCAGGGACCTTAAAGTACGGGGCCTGCCATGACCCATCCTACGGATGGGACAGCTTTGGATACAGCACAGTGTAGCCACTGCAGTGGATCTAATCATATCCACTTTAGTGATGTTACTCATATAACTGAGGTTGCTTAAGTCAGATTGATTTACTGAAGGTAGCATAGTCCAGAACTCACTTCAAAGTTTGTCTCTCTCACCAACTGCAATGGTCTAATAAAACTTCACCCACATCGGATCTCTAACTTTTTTTATATGAATAAAAAAATGCAGAGGGATTTTTTATTTGAGAGTCTATACGGAAAACATAGCCACTGGTCCTAAGAAACATGGTACAAAATATACATTGTTACAATTTTAACTTGGAGGAAGAAGGATTTTTCTTTTGTATATTCTGCTAATAGACAATAACTGACAGAGTTGCAATATGAAGAATTTTTCCTGGAAATCTGTGTCAAATTGTAATTTCCTGGGGATTTATGTAGCACCGAGTTGTCACACATGATGGTATGCTAGAGACATGGCATAGTTCAAATGACATTTGACACCAAAAGTAAATCATGCCGTTGTCAGGAGCTTGGAATCAATTAATTAAACCCTTCTTTTGCCTCACTCATGCAAACTGTCCCATTTATGATAGTCCTGTATTTTGCTGTCCCATTTATGATATTGGAATGATTTGTATAAGCATGGCAGGAGGATTTGTAACGATACCAAAATAGGAAAGTGGGAGTGACAAACAATATTGAGAGTCCAACTAATATATTTCTTTTGCTGGTACTAAATAGGTTGTTTCAAAATCTGATTCACCACTGTACTACTCCAGGGTTTATGCTGATTTATTTCTTTTCCTATTAATGGAATTACACCAACCTGAAAGTAGAAGTAACAAAATTGTGAATCAGGCCTTTAATCAGAGCTTGTAATATTTTAAAAAAAAAACTACAGTTTAGATCTCACATTCTTCCTTGTTTTGGGGAGAAGAGAGAAACTGTCAAGGCCATCATTTGGCTTACTGATTTAATGCTTCCAGGGCTCCAGCATTAGGTACCAAGTATACATTTCTGAACAAATAAATACATGAATCACTGTCAGATCAGGAAAAAAAACCCGCTTATATATGGCTTAACAAAATTATCCTACCTATTAATTGTTCTACACATCATCAAGGAGGGTAACTTGCCTCACATGCTAACTGATCATGTGATCGCTATGGTGTTGCTCTTGAAGCCTGAAGTTTGATTCCTTTCATTCAAAAAACTGGAAGGGAAAGGAACCAAACCTATAAAACACAAGAGGGTAGGGATTCAGTGACTTTCTGCCAATCCTAGTAGTTGATTATGCCAAGACCCTAGATTGTGCCTCGGGTTGCTGCCTGATGATTAAGATATGTTCCCATGCAGTAGGGGAGAGGGAGATAAGAAGAAACATTGAAAAGTACCTATTTCTCCAAGTATCCACTCTTTATGCAAGCTGTTGATAAAGCAAATGGGTGCCTGAGAAGCAGACATCAGGAAGTCACTCACAGCCAGATTCATTATAAAGTAGTTTGGTGGTGTCCTCAGCTTCTTATTGCTTAAAAATAATGCAAATAAATAAATAAATAAAATAAGTAAATAAATAAATAAATAAATAAAACAAGACAGTCAGTTACCTTTGTTTTTACTGTTTACTTACTAAACAAATCTGGCACTCTCTCAGTTGCAATTTTCACGCTTTACTCACCAGTCAATTATCATTGCTATGGATGTCAGGATTTCGAAATAATGATTCGGGATGAGGAAAGGATGCATTTTACACCATTTGATTAATAAAATATAGAAATATATTTCATTTACCACCTGTACTTACCCAACTCTATTTTAATAAAGTCAGAGACAATTCCAAGAAACATGGTTTTGCTCAGTGGAGCTGGATTCTGATGTGTATTTTGCACACTCAGTTGTCTCTGACAGCAGTAAGCACTGAAAGGGCTCACCACTTCACAGGATTAGACTCTAATGGAGAGTACAGTGTCAAAGGCTACACGTGGGTGAATACTGAATTTTAGTAGCTGCTGTGTTAGTTAATACAGTCACTGGACCTAACTCATTTTTTTCAATGTGCTTTTTGATAACCTGAGCATCAAAGGAGATACATGAGACCAAATGACAAAACTACAGATTACATACTTAAAACAGGAATGAAGATTACATACTTAAAACAGAAATGAATGTGAAAAGAGCAAAGTACCACAGGTACAAACAATTACACCTGGCTTCTAAAATCATTTACCTGAAAAGCGACTGTAAATTGGAATTGTAGAGCTTTCATCTGAATGGTATTCTGTGTAGTTCCTTATTTTCATATTCATTTAAACTGAAGGCATATGTCAAAAGCTTCTCTAAAGCTTTGGGTTGTACAGAAAAGCATGACCAAAGTGTGATCCTACTCTATCATTTTCTGTCTACTGTAAATACTGTTCTCTTATCTTTCTCTTTTTACACTGAATCTTTGTTGAAAATTTTAGCTGTGCCAAATGGATATTATATATTAAAAATGTATACCCTTGAACTAAGATTGAGATGGAAATAGGAAACAGAAATATTGAAAGTCACTTGGGCTAAATCTAGACTACAGGCTTTTTGCGCAAGAAGCTTTTTCTGGAAGAGATCTTTTAAAAAAACTTTTTGTGAAAGAGAGTGTCCACGCTGCAAAAGTGCATTGAAAAAGCTATGCGCTTTTGTGAAAGAGAATGTCCAGACTGCCTGGACTCTATTTTGCATGTAAGCAGTGATTGCTATGGACAGAATGGCCACCAGGGCACCTGTGCTTTTCCCTCTTCTTCTGAAAAAACTCCCTCTTTCTCATCCACACACACCTTTTTTGTGAAAGAGCTCTTTTGGAAAAAGGCTTCTTCCTTGTAGAATGAGGAATACCAATTGTGCAAAACCCCCTCTGTTCTTTCGATTTACTGTCGAAAGAATGTACTTGCAGTATGTACGTAATTCAGGTTTTGTTGGAAAAACAACTGTTTTTCCGACAAAACGCTGTAGTCTATCCTGAGAAAGGATAAAATGGGTAAAAACCAGGAGTGATGTCTTGGTAGGGGTCTACTACAGACCATCTAATCAGGAAGAAGAAGCAGTTGAGGTTTTTTTTAAACAAGTACCAAAATTATCCAAAGCACAGGACTTGGTGGTAATGGGGGACCTTTAACTATCAGACATCTGTTGGGAAAACAACACAACAGGGCACAGATTATCCAAGTTCTTAGAATTGGCGACAATATTTTATTTCAGAAGGTGGAGAAAGCAAGTTTGGGGACTTCCAGTTCTAGGCACCACTTTTGACCACATTTCAGGAAGGATATGCACAAACTGGAGAAGGTCCAAAGAAGAGCAACATAAACGATTAAAGGTCTAGCAAACATAACCTATGTGGGAAGACTGAAAGAACTGGGTTTGTTTAGTTTGGAAAAGGGAAGACAGAGGGGACATGATAGAGCTTTCAATTACCTAAAACGTTGTTATAAGGAGGAGGGAGAAACTTCTGATGAAAGGACAAGAAGCAATGGGCTTAAATTACAGCATTGGGAGATTTGATTGGACATTAGGAAAAATGTTCTTTCTGGGTGGTTAAGCACTGGAATAAATTGCCCTGGGAGGTTGTGGGATCTCCATCATTGGAGGTTTTTAAGAGCAGGTAAAATGAACATCTGTCAAGGATGATCTAGATCAGTGTTTCCCAATTTTAGTTGGCCACGGAACCCTTTTAAATTCAAAAATTTTTGGCAGAACTCCAATAACTGTCTTATATATGGAGGTGAAAAAGTAGACCACAAATAAGTAAGAATAAAATAATAAAGAACTGCTAAACAAGGTCACGAGATCAACACTTAGTTTAATTGCACATATTTAAAAACAAAAATCACATTTAATGTGTACAATTTTTTTTTAAATCATAAAATGTTATTGTAATGGAATTTTCTCACAGAACCTTTATTTTCACTTCATATCTAGATCATTGTTTCTGAAAGTGTTCTGCAAAATCACTCTCAGAAACACATTAACTGGCTGCACCGGTTTGTTTATTTACTGGTGCCGCAGCTACAGAGCCTCGCAGCTCCCATTGGCTCCGTTTCATCCTTTGCAGCCAAGGGCAGCAGCGTGAGGCTCCCTGGCTGTGGTGCCAGTAAATAAACAAACCAGGACGGCAAGTTAATGTGTTTCTGAGAGTGATTCCACGGAACATTTTCAGAAACACTGATCTAGATGGTGCTTGGTTCTGCCATGAGTGCAAGGGACTGGACTTGGTGTCCCTTCCAGTTTCTAGTATTCTATGATTCTAACTACTGTTTTCACAAAACCAAAACTTTCCTCTGTGCCTCATGTTAAACGCTTCCATGTTTAAAAGCTACTTTCAAAGAATAATTTGCACTGGCTTACTTGTAATTTATCTAATGAGCATGGTCAGAAGTGATTTTCCAAGACTGTACAGTAATATTATCTAACCATTTTTTCCCCAACTCTCTTGTTGGTGAAGCACTATTAACAGGTCAAGTCTCAAATTTTAGCCATTTTAAAGTTTTTATATGAAGGACAAAATAGTAAGTGTTGCAATAATATTCTTCTGTGAGAAAGGAGCATCCACATCAGTCTGGCATAATTCAGACAGCTGACCCAGATTCACCCCTCTGTTGCTGTGAGCAAAAAAGATGATTGAAGCCCTCTGATCTTTGGATGGACAGGCATAAAAGCTGGGAGTGCTGACTCCACAGCATGCTGTGTTTGTCTCTCCTGATATCATGGAAAATTTTTATAGGTGTCAGCCTCTTGATATGGGATGTGATGACCACTTCTCTGTGCCACTGTTCTCCACTAATCCAGCACTCCCAGACAGGAGTGAAAAACCATTTTCCTGAATGACGTAAGTTTTGCTAGCATAAATACTCACATGCACATCACTATGTCAGTGGGTGATGCTCATCTGCAGACATACTGACCACTGTTTGTTGAGCTAGTTTTATTACAGACATAGGGGAGCGTGCCCTGCTTCATACTGTAATGAGCCATCAAAGTATAAATACAAACTGTTTGCCTTCAGGTATGGAAAGCATTGATGGCATATCCTCATTTCATGTACCATTGCACTTCCTGGATCCAACTCCACCCCCACCACTTTCAGGTGACTCTGAGATTCAATCTTGATAGCATCTTTTACATAGTCTTGGGCGGTAGAGAGTGAAGGAAGTCAGGGAGAGCAGCAGAAAGAAGATAATGGTGCGATTAAGCATTCCATCAAATTTGTCATTTTAGTTCATGATAAAACAAGTGCCGCATGTTTATTGTCTCATAGTTTTGAATTACGCAAAGTAAAAGGAATTTACAGTGATGCACCTAGTTGTCTCTGCATCATCAAATACTTGCAGAGAAAACAGATACAGGCAGTCCCCGGGTTATGTACAAGATAGGGACTGTAGGTTTGTTCTTAAGTTGAATCTGTATGTAAGTCGGAACTGGCGTCCAGATTCAGCCGCT